AAAGAAGTCTAACAACAACTTAAGGAAAAATGAAAGCTTTTCATTAGCAATAAGTTTTTCAAAATTGTAACATGTATTATCATTCTTGTAACTGTTAAACACATTTTTTTTAAAGACTGTCTTGCCTAAAGATTCAAAACTCAACTCACTCAGCCAGCAAGCCTCCTGCCTGAAGGTACTCAGTGTCCTCGCTCTTGGTCTGGAAGGTCCACCACGCTGTCCTGGCTCACCTAATTCAAAAGCCCAACTCACTGCCCTCAAGTCAGTGCTGACTCATAGACACACACCCCCGCCCTGTGGGTTTCCAAGACTGTACTATTTACAAGAGTAGAAAGCTCGGCTTTCTCCCAAGGAGACGCTGGTGGCTTCCAACTGGCAATCATGCAGATCACACGGCACCATGTAACTAGGCTCTTGCTAAGATGCTTCTACTGCTCTGCTGCTGCTGTTCACCATCTCCCTGGCATCTCTGGTGTCACAGTGGTCTGTCTCTTGAATAGAGGAGGTTTGGCACAAGGATCTTCGATCCAAAGGACACACTCTACTCCATGTGCTTCTCTTTTGATTATAATGAAAGCCCTTTCCGCCTCTGGGTTAGCTCATCCTAAGGCCAACAGAATGGCAATACTGATCAGTCCCCTTATTAGGGTTCCATACACCTTATGTGTATGTTTCCACCCCCATAAGGGTGCTTTGTATTTTATTTGCATTATTAGCAAGTTGTCTAATGCCTTTGGTTGGCTGCACACAACTCTCATTTGCATAGTGCTACTTAGGCATTTAATGGGAGTTACTAAGACTGGCTAGAAAGGTCATATTAAGGGTCATAGCACTGGTGACATAATAGGATAAATATTGAGAATAGTGGCACAACATGAGTACTGTCATTGAACTCTCTGTAAAGATTGTTGAATGGATATCTGCTGTGTATATTTTCACTAATAGTAGACAGTTTGAAAACAACAAACTTTCACACCTCTTTTCCTTCTCCTGCCTTCTTTTCACTTACTTTTCATTGCGTACTATGTTCCTTTTCTCTTACAACCACCTGGAAAGGTTCCAAATCAGTTAACAATGAGTCTCTAACTCTTTGTTTCCTTCTTTGTCAGCCCAGTACAAATCAATGACTGCTATCTCTGCCTTCCTGCATAATGAATAATGAATTCATATGTTTATTGACTCAGTAATGTACTTAACAATATATTTACTCTATTGTTTATTCCCTTCCCCCCACACAGAACAATACAAAATTAGATAACTGCCTGTATAAAGATGCAATATATACTTTTTAATTAACTCTGATCCTTGAATACTTGCTAATTTGAGTTTTTATGTTTTGACCATAATACTCATTTTTGATGACTTCAAATTAGTTAGGATTGTTTTTTGCTTTTCAGCAAACAGTGACATTTAAGGATGTGGCTGTGGACTTCACACAGGAGGAGTGGCATCAAATGAAACCTGCTCAGAGGAACTTGTACCGAGATGTGATGCTAGAGAATTATAGCAACCTAGTCACAGTGGGTAAGGGTTGCTTTGCAATTTAACTCAGAAATTAGTTCTATTTCTAAAATGTATGACTACTAACAGGTTAGATGAGACTAGTCCCCCGCCCCTTTTTCTTCACATGACCATACTTATACTTGCTTTATACTCTAAGATAAAGGCAAATGACTTGTTTCATTGTACTTCCTTAGAATTTCTTTTCCCTCAACCTACATTAGCCTTCAAGTCCCCTGAATTCTGCCTAAGACCGAGGGTGGGGTTTTATTTATTTATTCGTTCATTTATTTATTTTCAGCATTAACATTCCAAGACCTTTGTCCTTTCTAATCATAGGCTGTCAAGACACCAAACCAGATGTGATCTTCAAGTTGGAGCAAGAAGAGGAGCCATGGTTGATAGAGGAGGAAATGCTTAGGAGGCATTGCCCAGGTAAATAAGTGAAAACCAGGCAGCACGCAAGTCATTCAGTGAGAGGTTAATACCATTTCACATCGTCTGAGGTTTTCTTTAGGGGCTAGTCTTATAGAGTGACAGATGGTTTAGATGTCTTAGATTACTGTGGTTTTTCCATATTTTTTTCCTATGTGGGGGCTACCTCCTTTTTCAACTATTAGAGGACCAGAAACCCTTCATCTGATTTCAGGATGATAACACTGTACTTCATTTACAACCAGGAGCTCTTTGACATGTAACCTTTCTCTTTCCACCAAGTTCATAGTTCAAGTTTCTTTTTTTTTTTTTTAAATCATTTTATTGGGGCTTGTGCAATTCTTATCACAATGCATACATATATCCATTGTGTCGAGCACATTTGTACATTTGTTGCCCTCATCATTCTCAAAACATTTTCTTTCTACTTGAGCCCTTGATATCAGCTCCTCATTTACCCCTCCCTCCCCGCTCCCCTCTCCCTCAAGTTTCTTATACAGTCAGTATTATCTCATGTTTGTGTAGTATTTTTTAAGGTGATTTTTTTTTAAATTTGTTTTTTATGCTAGGCTCTTTTTCACTAGGTTCTTGGAAAAACCTCAGAGTTCTGTTATATAATGATACGCAGACTGTGCATTGTACTTCACATGGATAATCCCATGCAGCTTTCTTATAAATATAGATATACATGTACATATATGTATATATTGTATAGACCAGGCGTCCTCAAACTACGACTCTCGGGCCACATGCGGCCCACCAAGGACATTTACCCAGCCTGCCCGGTGTTTTTGCCCCATTTGTTTTTTTAATTCAAAATAAGATATGTGCAGTGTGCATAGGAATTTGTTCATAGTTTTTTTTTAAAACTATAGTCTGGCCCTCCAACAGATCTGAGGGACAGTGAACTGGCCCCCTGTTTAAAAAGTTTAAGGACCCCTGATAACTCAATTAATAAAGGACTCAATAAAGTTCCCCCTCTCATTTTGACACCTAATGCCTTCCTTTCTCTGACATATTAAAAAAACAACAACACTGGCATCAAATCAATGGCAACTCTTAGTGACCTATAGGACAGGGTAGAACTGCCACTGCAAGTTTCTGAGAATGTAACTATGGGAATAGAAAGCTTCGCCCTTCTCCCTCAGAGTGGCTGGTGGTATTGAGCTGCCGACCTTATGGTTAGCAGCCCCATAAGTAACCGCTATGCCACCAGGGCTCCTTCCCATCTGTAGATGTTGATGTTGTTAGGTGCTATCAAGTTGGTTCCGACCCATAATGACCCTATGCACAATAAAACGGTCCTGTGCCATCCTCACAATTGTGTTCTCTTTCTCTCTTGAAGTCGTGAGAATCTTTTTTTTTTCTTTTTTCAAAAATTCTGGTGGGGGGGAATTTTAATCATTTATTGGGGGCTCTTACAGCTCTTATAACATTCCATACATTGATTGTATCAAGCATATCTGTACATATGTTGCCATCATCATTTCCAAACGTTTTCTACTTGAGTCCTTGGTATAAGCTCCTCTTTTTTCCCATCCCCCACCCTCCCAGCCTCTTGAATCCTTGATCAATTATATATTGTTATTATTTCGTATCTTACACTGTCCGTTGTCCCTTCATCCACATGTCTGTGATTCGTTCCCTTAGGTGGGGAGGGCGGTATATATCCAACCTTGTGATAGGTTCTCCCTTTCTCCCCCTTCCCCCTACCCAACCATCCCTCAACTCTCATGATATCATTTCTACCACTTTTCCTGAGGAGTTTATCTGTCCTGAATTCCATGTGTACCAATGTATGTTCAGTTCTGAAATTTTTTGATGATGTGCTCTTGAGTAGAGGTTTTTTCACTAATTATGCTGGATATATAGTGATTATTTTGGTCTAGAACAGTGGTTCTCAACCTTCCTAATGCCGTGACCCTTTAATACAGTTCCTCATGTTATGGTGACCCCCAACCATAAAATTATTTTCGTTGCTACTTCATAACTGCAATTTTGCTACTGTTATGAATTGGGCAACCCCTATGAAAGGGTTGTTTGACCCCACAAAGGGGTCAAAACCCACAGGTTGAGAACCACTGGTCTAGAATACATATTTTAATCCTTTAAAATTATTTTTAAAATATTTTTACTTTTCTATGTTCTATTAATATGAGAATAATTTTTATGAATTGAGTGTAATTTTCTTTTTGTATTTTCTACTATGCTTTATTGTTCTGTTTTCTAGCAGAGAGCCTTGACTTTAATTTCAAATTTTTATTTGTTCATTTTTAAATATTTCTTATTTTGATTGTTCACTCTCTATTTTGTATATCGAGTATCTCTGTGGTACAATGTCTTTTTCTTTGCAACATTCTTTTCAATTTTTATGTTTCTTCAATGTTTCATGTGTGTTTTGGTATCTTATATTCAAGAGTATTCTTAAAAATCTAGAGATTATGGGCTGTCAGTTCAATTTTCAAAATTACAGATAAAAAAAAGCTGTTTGTAATCTCTGCTTGCCTACCCAACAACAAACAAACAAACCCACTGCCATTGAGTCAATTCCATCTAAAAGGGTTTCCAAGGCTGTAACTCTTTGCTGTCAATTGCCACCAAGTTAGTTCATAGTAGTCCAGTGCACAACAAAATAAAACAACTTGGTCCTGCGCCATCCTTAGAATTGTTCTTATGCTTCAGTCCATTGTTGCAGTCATTGTGTCAGTCCCTCACATGGAGAGCCTTTCTATTTTCGATGCCCCTTTACCAAGCATTATGTCCACCTCTAGGGGCTGTTCTCTCCTTACAACATGTCCAAAGTATAACAAAGTCTTGCCATCCTTGCTTTGAAGGAACACTCTGGCCATATTTTTTCCAGGACAGATCAGTTTGTCCTTTTAGCAGTCATGACACGTTCAATATTCTTCACTATCACCATAATTCAAACATATTGATTCTTCTTTGATCTTTTTTATTCAATATTCAACCTTCAAATGCATATGAGACAATTGAAAACACCATGGTTTGGGTCAGGCATACCTCAGACCTCAAAGTAACATCCTTGCTGTAAATCTTTACAGGAACAGAAAGTCTCATCTTTCTTCCTTGAAGTGGTTGGTGGGTTTGAGCTACTGACCCTGCAGACAGCAGGCCAATACTTAAAACAGTGCTACCAGGGATCCTTTATATGTCAATAGGTAGGAGTTTTTGACTAGTGGACAATACAATAAAATGGTTGAATTAGAAACTAGGACTTTATTATGGAGTCCCAAATGCTAATATAAATAGATCTTTTAGCTTTAGCCTTCCTATCTTCTGCCTGGTGGTAAATGCCAGTATTCATAGGAATAAACAATAGAAAGGAATTGGAGGTCTCACTGTTCAGTATTAAACTTTCATGTAATTCCTAATTCTTTAGTATCAGACCTTTCCTCTGCATCTGTTTTATTTGTTTCTAAATCTGGAGCTTCTCTGGTTCATTTTCTATAGAAAGTAAACCTTCCTTTTTCTGTTGAGGTATGGATGCATGGCCACTACCTGTATAGATTGGAGGAAAGAGTATATTGATTAAGGGTAAGTTACAGAGAAAATAATCTTACTTATTAGTTTAAGAAAGAAGAAATTTGTGTCAAAATAAGAAATGTTTCAAAAAAAGGAAATGTTTCTCAAACTCAGAACACAGAACTAAATTGCTGAGAGCCCTTCTGTCACAATTGAGAAGTTGCTTCTGGTTCAAACGGGTAGATGCCAGCTGTAGAATCCAGAAATGTGCTGGGGATTTTGTAATGTCTTGAACATAATAGATGCCTTATGCCTAGTCTCTTCTTTTTATTCAGTTCACAATAAAAATGTTTTATCTACACCCAAGTGTATCTAAGAAATATAGTTTTTTTCTGTCTCAATCTCTTCAGATTAAAAAGAGGTTACTTGAGCAAATTCTTAATACCTGTATCAGGGCATCTATCTAGCTACTCCTTGTTCATACTTTACATTAATTCTCTTCTTTTAAACTACAATCCTATTCCTACCCTTTGAGTACCTAGCTTCTTCAGTACATGAGCTTTTCCAGTGTTCTATAGCCAGGTCTCTTTTTTAAATTTTTGTGTTACTTACTGACATTGTCATCCTCATGAGACTTTTATTTTAAATTCTTAGCTCTGCTATCAGTTAACAATTTCCCATATATGAGACGGCTTCAAAAAAATTCATGGAAAATGAAAAGATAATGAAAATTTCCCATGAACTTTTTGAATCCCACTTGTACTTTTCATCTCCCAGTATTTTATTGAAAAATCTTCATCCTTTTGTTATTATAAGTCCTTCAGAAGGAGGAGAAATAAACATGTATATTCAATATACTGTTTAACACAATGTTAAATTATCCTTGTCATAAACTCCTTACCCATTTATTTATGTAGTCTTCCTTTCATCTTATAATTATTTTACTGATTTCTATATTTTACAGGGACATTTTTAAAAATTCAAAGCTACTCTAGCCTATAAAAGCTAGATTTTTTTTTCTTCTGAGTAATTTCTGTAGAATTTACTGCCTAAAACCTTAAGAACTAAGGATGTTTACCCTTCAGATGTCCTTCATATTGGGAAGTTGGGGCTATCAGACATTCAACTTCACATTAGAAAATTTCTGAAATGTTATTAATAGTATAAAGTAGAAATGTTTACTAGTAATACTTTTTGGTCCTCTATTTTAGAAGTTTGGGAAATCGATGAACAAACTAATAAGCAACAGGAAACACTTATGATGAAAATCACATCCATCTCCAAAAAATCTCTGATTAAAGAAAGAGGTAATGGATGCAAAAAAGTTAAAAAATTAATTCCTCTGAGCTCAGACATTGCTACTTTGAGACAAAGCTTCTATGAACTTGATAAGGACTTGGAACATAATTCAGGCTTTCTTAATTTTAAGAAAGACTGTATAAGAGGAAAAAACTGTGACTATAATGAATATAGGAAACCATTGTATCATACCTCATCTCATCTTTTTAAGTGTAATCAATGTGGACAAGAATTCAATCATAAGTTTGACCTCATCAGACATGAGAGAATTCATTCTGGAGAGAAGCCATATCAATGTAAGGAATGTGGAAAAGTCTTTAGTAGAAAGGAAAATCTTATTACACATCAAAAAATTCATACTGGTGAAAAACCTTATAAGTGTAATGAATGTGGAAAGGCTTTCATTCAGATGTCAAACCTTATTAGACACCAAAGAATTCATACTGGGGAAAAACCTTTTGCATGCAAGGATTGTTGGAAAGCCTTCAGTCAGAAATCAAATCTAATTGAACATAAAAGAATTCATAGTGGAGAAAAGCCCTATGAATGTAAGGAATGTGGGAAGTCTTTCAGCCAGAAGCAAAACCTTATTGAACATGAAAAAATTCATACTGGGGAGAAACCGTATACATGTAATGAATGTGGTAGAGCTTTCTCTCGAATGTCATCTGTTACTCTGCACATGAGAAGTCACACAGGGGAGAAACCATATAAATGTAATAAATGTGGGAAAGCCTTCTCTCAGTGCTCAGTATTTATTATACACATGCGAAGTCATACAGGTGAGAAACCCTATGTATGTAGTGAATGTGGGAAAGCATTCTCTCAAAGTTCATCTCTTACTGTACACATGAGAAATCACACAGCTGAGAAACCCTATGAATGTAATGAATGTGGAAAAGCCTTCAGCCGGAAAGAAAATCTCATTACACATCAGAAAATCCACACTGGAGAGAAACCTTATGAATGTAATGAATGTGGGAAAGCTTTTATTCAGATGTCAAACCTCATTCGACACCAGAGAATACATTCTGGTGAAAAACCCTATGCATGCACTGTATGCGGTAAAACCTTTAGTCAGAAATCAAATCTGACTGAACATGGGAAAATCCATACTGGAGAGAAACCATATCATTGTAATCAGTGTGGAAAAGCTTTTAGTCAAAGACAAAATCTCCTTGAGCATGAGAAAATTCACACTGGAGAGAAACCATTTAAATGTATTGAATGTGGTAAAGCCTTCTCTCGAATCTCATCCCTTACTCTTCATGTAAGAAGTCATACAGGGGAGAAACCATATGAGTGTAATAAGTGTGGGAAAGCCTTTTCTCAATGTTCATTACTTATTGTACATATGAGAAGTCATACTGGTGAAAAACCCTTTGAATGTCATGAATGTGGGAAAGCATTCTCTCAAAGAGCATCCCTTTCTATACATAAAAGAATTCATACAAGTGAGAAGCATCAAGTGTACTGAATGAGAGCAGACCTCTCAAATTCAAACCATACCCTATTTAACTTTTTAAATATCCTGGAGTATACTCTAACAACAAAAATCCACAAGATCTTTGGGGAAAAAATTGTTAAAGGGTATAAAACATGAATACATACAGGGAAGTACCAGGTAACTAAATGGGAAAATCCAATGTCATAAAAATTTCAATTATCCAAAATTAATGTATAGATTTCATGCAGTTTCAAATTAAATCTCACTCACAAGAATATTTTAGGATCTTTGCAAAATGACCCTAAAACTATGTAAAATAGAATTCTATGGATTGCTGAAACACTTTTGAAAAGGAACAGGATGTGCCTTCATACCATATATTGCACATATTATAGAAGTTATTAAGTATTCAATATTAGTACATTAACAGATAAATAAAAAGGTCTTACAAAATAGTCTCCAGAATGTAACTGAACATCATATTAGACAAGATATCATGAATAAGTAGGGGAATGAATCTGCCTTATCAGACGCTAAATTTTCATTGAACTATATCTAGAAAATTAATAATTAGAAATGATAGTCATATTTACTATGTGATAAAAATGAATATATCTTTGTGATGACTTTTTTACATTGTATCATTTCTGAAATTGAGACTCAATTTCAAATGTTTCATAGATTTCAGTAAATGTGTAATCTATTAAAAATTTAAAAATCAAGTGGCAGTGTGACAAATGTTTTTACTTATTATTTTAGAGTAACATGGTATGTTACACATGGTCCTATTTAATCATCATGTCCAGGATTGTTTAATAATAGATTTGTGGATTTATAATTTATGTGCAAATTATTTATAGAGAATGTGATTTTTCTGAGAAATGTACAATATTACTTTTCTTGTTCTGTAAATTCCTATATGAATAGTATATCCATTAGTATTGCTATTTATCACAGCGCTTTTTTCTTTAATGTGGCCATAAATGGTTATATTAAATTACTTAAATCTTAAACTATAAATAATTGTATACATTCCACAACCCTGATTGATGCACTCTTTCTAGTTTGTAATGGAAGCAGTGGAGGTGGTCTTAGACTCCAAAAGAATCTGTTGCTCTGAAACAATGCATTGTTTAAGGGAATTTTTATTATGCCAGCTCCACAATACTTCTTGATATAAAGAAACCATTAATTCCTTTTTAAAAGAGAAGATTGGCATTTGAGGTGTTGGCTAAATGGGATCTTTAGATTTCATATATAAACCTTAATTGCATGTATTCAAAGCCGATTTAACAAAATTAAGACTTTCAAATTAAACTTGTGAAGAGAAATCATGATTATACCAATGGTTGACTTTTGGTAGCTATTTTTGAAGATTGACAGTGATTTATAAATTGTAACAGTGAGATGATTTTTTAAAGTGAGGTGATTTTTATGAGAACAAAATTTACCAAAACTTAAACAACCATGAGTATTATTGCATAATCTCTTCTTAGTAGACTATGTGATAAATCTAGCCTAGAAAGAACATCTAACTTCTGCAGACCTTTTGGTGCTGTTATTAAGTTTTCAAAATTAATGTATTATCTTGCTAAGAAAGCCTCTTTACATATTTTTAGTTTCAAGAAGTCGCCTCCCCTCCCTGCTTTTTTGTTACATTTTCATTGTCCTCTTGTAATTCTTTGAGGGTTTTTTTATGTAGTCCATATTTCATATATCTTATATCCTCCATCCCTACTTTTTATGCACATATTTTATATAAAATAAGGCATATGCCTTAAATTTCCTTGCCCTTAACTTTGGAGACGCTGGAACCATTTAACGTTTTTCCTAACATCCCCTATGGGCCACATTAGATACTCTTTGTGGACAAGCCATTACTCTCCCCCTCCTGTGTGACTCCAAACCAAGTGAGGTAAAGTGCTTACCATTAAACCTGAATCTGTTGTATAGCTGAATTATATACATTAACTAGCAAATAATCTGATTTTTGTAAATCTTTGTTTTTCGTGTTCTAAGAATCAAATAAGAGATACAAATGACAGAGATGGTAAATCTGTCTGCTTGGGTGTACATGATTTCACGCTAGAAAAGTTTTCATTCTTTTTAACTTCATAATGTCCAATAATGCACATGACCTTACAAAACAAAGTAGAACAATATGGGTTGAATTAGAGATAGAACAATGTAAGTTGATAGATTTGAAATATTTTTGTAAATGAACCAATAGGATTTTCTGATATGAAATGAGTAAAAAGATAAAGTGTGGGATACAAAAAGACTTCCCCAGCTCGACTCCCCCAAATATATATGTTAGACTTAGGGCACCGCTTGCAACTGATGGTAAATGATTGTCAAGTTATCTCCCTGAAGACTCCAGCCATCCAGAGCAAGCAGACACCACTGTTTCTCCTACAATAGGTAGGGCTCACTCCCTGCTGTTAGGGACAGTGGATGGCTTCCTCTGAAAGCTTAGGATAATTAAAGTCTCCATCTCTAGGGCAATCAAGGTTAGGCCTCCATCAAGAATCTAGGATCCATCCATCTTGTCACATGTATACCCTTAATCCTTCCTCTTCCTTCTGTATGTATACCCTGAGACCTTCCCCTTCTCATCACTGTATAACTTATAGCAGAGCCCCTTCCTGTGACATATGTCCTTACCTGTAATTAGGGGGCTTGCCCCCCCCCCAAAGATGTATAAGCCATGGTTAGTAATAAACTTGCTCTCTCTCCTGCCCTGTACCACCAAACGGGGCTGAGGTGAACATGCTACCATGAAATGTGTCTGACTCCATTATTTCAATCTCTTCTCATATTCTCTAAGACATTACTAAAGTCTTTACTTATTATCGCTGTACAATTGCGCCTACCGGGTCTGTGATGATTTGCTAGGGGCCAGCTCCCCTAACAATAAAGGATGTTTCTTAAGATTTTAAGAGATGCAATTAGCCAAGAGGCTGTTCATTTTCTAAAAATATAACAATACAGAAAAGCATTTGTGGCTAAAGATTGAATAATAGAATATAATTTTGTTAGGGACATTCTTCTAGATTGTTTCCTGGAAGCAGATCTTAAGATGAGTATTTCTGTATCAGTGATTTTTCAAGAAACTGCTCCCAGAAAGGGCATGGAAGAAGCAGCATACGAAAGAGTAATAAGTCAAGGGTATGATCTCAGGCATAGTCCTGCCATTGGTCATTTCAATCTGGTAACTAAGGGACCTCTGAAGCATAAGTACAAAGTTAGGGAGGTGTGCACAAAACTATGACACTAAATGTAAATTAGGAGGTGAGTTAAAGTTTATTGTGCCAACCTGGCAGATAAATACATGTGGGGTTAATTGCAGGGTGGAGAGATAAATGGCGTGGTGAGCCTTGCCTTTCTAGTTCTCGGGTCTCTTGCTTTATGATGGTCAGACCAGGGTGCAGCTGCCTTAACCAGTTCCCTGCTTCAGCTGGCAAGGCTCACTTCCTGCAAGACATCTCTGAGGAGAAGCCAAATGGACCTACCCCGATGGAGCCCTGAGTGCTTGAGCAGCCGTGTGGAGACCCCTGCCAGCACTGAGATACTTACATGCTCACTGATTTGGCTTTCCTCCTGCAGTTGGCATCATTGCGTGTGTTTCGTGAGATGGAGGAGGATTTTGTGGATTGCTGTTGGACATATAGGTTAATGTTGGACTTGTGGGCTTGGGCAACACTGGGTTGAGATGTTTTCTTGATGTGCACTTACCCTTTATATAAAACTCTCTCATACATAAGAGTTTCTGTGGATTTGTTTCTCTAAAGTACCCAGACTAACACATTAGGTCTCCAGCACATCCTCATTTCTGATAGCATTTACACGTTTAGAAGACCCCAAGTCTACCTTCAGATTCAATACTTACTGAAATAACACAGAATTCACTAAAAGGTGTTATTGTTATGGTGAAAGAATACAGATTAAAATTCCCCAAGGGAAGAGACACCAGGAGCAGAGTCCAGGGAATTCCCAAGCACACAGTTTCTGATAGTACACATCCAGAAGAGCCAGAGATAACGTTATTTTCCCCCAAATGATGTATATTGCCAACCAAGGAAGCTCATCTAAGCCTTGGTGTCCAGAGTTGGAGTTCCATCATATTGGCATGGTTGAATTCCCACACAGCTGAACATATTTCAACCCCTCTAGAAGTTGAATTTGATACTCACCCTAACACAAATTGTTAGACTATCTGGTTTGACGCAGGACTTCTAGAAAAACATATTCCTACCAGGTCTGACACTTCTTGAACTTGTTATCTGAAGACAAAGACCAGGCCTCTGTTTAGGCAAGGGTAAATTCTTTACTAGGTAGTAAGTTGTAGTAAATACTTCAGAGTCCTAGGTTCCACAATGAGTAACAGGGGCACTCATACCTCTTGCCAACTTAAAATGGCTATCTAGACTACTGATAAACCAAAGCTAAGTTCCACCTTAGAAATTGCTTTCAGAACAAAGTTCGATTACACCCAATTCTCCCCTTACAGGTGATGTTCCAATAAATCTAGCCACAAGTTTTTTGTTTTTTTTGTTTTGTTTTTTAACATTTTATTAGGGGCTCATACAACTGTTATCACAATCCATACACACATCAATTGTGTAAAGCGAATTTGTACATCATTCTCAAAACATTTTCTCTCCACTTAAACCCCCGACATTAGGTCCTCAT